ACTGATACTGGGGTGCTCCAGGACGCAGAAGACCAGATGTGTATAAGAGACAGCCACTCCTGTGTCCCCCCATGTTCCCGCACCGGTGGCGGCAGCGCCGCAGGAACCTCATGATCTTCCGGGCCGCCTGGTCCTGCTTGAGGGTGAGGAAGGTGCTCCTGGGGAAAAAGGGAGAGGAGGGTGAGGACCCCTCTGTCCCCAGTGCCTGGTGTCCCCAGACGCCAACACCCCAGTCCCCAGTGCCCCCAGTGTCCCCAGTCCCTCCGGTTCCCCCAGTTCCCCCCGCCCCCCGAGCCTCCCCACCGGTGCTGCCGGAGGCTGCGGAAGCGCTGCTGGATGAGCACGGCCGCGCGCCGGCGCCGCTGGAACCGCTTCTGCTCCGCGTAGCTCCGGAACTTGCTCTGGATCAGGATGGCGGCCTGCGTCATCCGCTGGAACAGGGCAAACTGGGGGGGACACGGCACAGCCCTCAGCACCCACGGGGCACCCCGGGGTCACAGCACCCCGAACAGGGACTCCAATGTCACCTCGATGTCACAGCACCCCAGTCAGGGACCTGTGTCATCCCGGTGTCACAGCACCCCCAAACAGGGACCCCAGTGTCACCCTGCTGTCACGGGGCCCCCAGACAAGGACCCTAATGTCCAGGTGCTCTCCCAACATCCAGGTACCCCCCCCCGAGGTCCCCCCAACACCGTACACCCCTCGAGGCTGAGGGGACCCAGGTGTCTGGAGCCCCCCAAGATGGTCTCCCAAATCAGGGCCCCCACTCCCAACCCTGTTACCTTCAGAGCAATCCAGGTCAGCTTGTGGGGCAGAGAGAGAGGGTTAGGGGGGCTCTGGGGGACCTGGGCGGTGCCCAGGGGGGCCCATGGGGGTTTTGGGGTCCCCCCCACACCTCGGTACCTGCTTGTACTTGCGGTAGCAGCGCTGGATGACGGCGGCCGCCAGCTCCTGCTGCTCCTTCAGCCTCCGGCCCTGGGGGGGCAAAGGGGGGGTCAGTGTGGCCAGGGGGAGTGGCTGGGAGGC